TACTTATCAAAAGTAAAAATCACGATGGTGATAATGTAAAATAATCAAGGGTTATTTTTGGGTGGTGGCAGTTGAATTTTTTTTTTATCAATAACGATGAATTTTATTAAAATGTTGAGACGATTACATAGCAAGGGAGTTAAACAATCTTAACTCCCAAATACAGTCAAGGTACACCCAAAATATAAAGCAATTACAAGACAGCCCAAAAAATAGAGTTTCTGTTCACCCCTTACCTAGCTAGACCATCTGCCAATGAATTTGCACTTCTCTTTACCTATGTACATTGAATTTCAAAGTCCTTTAAATTTCTTCTTTTCATTGCTGTAATTCCAAAGCCTAGAGCTGTCCTCTTTTAGCCAGTTCACCACAATTTCAGAATCTCCTTCTATGATCAATTTATTGATATTCATGTCTTTAGTCCTCTGTACCCCTTCAAGAGTTGCTAGTATTTCATCCCTCAAGGAGTCTCCCATCCCAATTGGACCAAAATACATGGCTAACAGATTCCCTTTTTTATCTCTTATAACTCCCCCTATTCCAGATGACCTTGGATTGGCCATACTGCTGCCATTGAAATTCAGTTTAGTAAAACCGTGAGGTGGAGGGGTCCAAGAAGAACTCGAAACCTTCTTAGCTGAAGCTAATTCTGCAATCTCCTTCCACTTTCTTAGCAACTCATCTACTGAGAAATCTGCAAACATGTCCAAAGTTTTCAACCAATGTATCACCCTAATATGGGTAACCTCCAATATTACTTCCAAACTTCTCTCCTTTTCTGAGAAAATCCGTGAGTTTTTCTCTTCCCAAATAGTCCAACAAACTGCAGCCCATCGCCACATAATCTTAGCCCTTTTTGTAGACCAGTTGGGAGTAGATGTTAATAAGCTTTGCACATTCAATGGGGGAGTCCACCTGCACCCAACAACACCATTCCCAAATGAATTTAGCAAACCGGCTGGAAATTAGTAAGTGGTACCTAGACTCACCATCAGCTTTACAGAGGACACACCAGTGAGGAGACAAACAACTATTGGGTATTTTCTTCTGAAGCAAATCTCCTATATTAACTCTTTCCAGAAAGGCTTCCCAATAGAAACTCCCAACCTTCGGAGGTATAGGTTGACACCACACCTTTTTAACAGGGAAGGACAGTCCAAAAGAAGAAGGTTGTAATAGGGCTTTTAAGAATGAGGCACAAGTGAAGGAACCCGAGGGAGTGAGCGTCCAGATTCTACTGTCTACCTTGGTTGGCTCCAGGAAGACCCCATCAAGGATGGATAGTAAAGTTAAAGTATAGTCTAACTCTCTGTCCCTGATGTCTCTTCTTAGACCCAAGTTCTAGCCAAACCTAGAAGTTGAGTTAGAAGGAACAAGAAAGGTGGAAACTGGTTCACTTTTTAGGGTAGAGATAGCAAAGAGAGCCGGAAATTGATCTTTTAAAGGAGAATCCCTAACATGTTCCCAAAATTTAATGAGATTGCCTGAGTGCAAGTCATACCTGATCCAGGGAGAGAATAAGGGCAAAATAACTTGAATAGCTTTCCAAGGAGATGCTCTTGTAGTCCTTGCCAGAATCCTAGAGTCTCATCCATTGTTTGCAACCCATGAATACTACCCACTATCTTAACCCAAAGCTTTTCTTTCTCCATTGAAAATCTCTACAGCCATTTCCCTAGTAGTGCCAAGTTCCTATTCCTTGTGTTCCCAATACCCAGACCTCCCTCCTTGCTCCTACGCGCATTTGGAGTTTCTTTGTTTGTTGGTATTATTTATTGTTGTCAGTTATATTTGTTTTAGGGTGGTGTTCATTTTGCCCAGGCGTTTGGTTGTTTGCTGCTATGTTTTTGGTGTGATTATTTATTTATTTATTTTTATCCTATTTGATGAGGTTTTTTGGGAGGGCTGAATTCTAATGAAGGTTTGCTCTGTATTCTCTTGGGAGACTGTTTGTTTCCCTTCTTGTAATTTCCTTTTCTTAATAAAATTATATTTTATTATAAAAAATGGACATGGTTCACAATTTTGATATTGATGGGTGTTTCACCATACATCTATGGGGATATTTTCCCGGTTCTGCTTAGATATTTTGAAAATCTAAACAAATTAGGAGGAATTACTAAGAATGTGGAATTTGCTAATGAAACTTCATGGCTAGTTAGAAAGGAGTATATTTTTTTTTTATAGATAACAGTAAAAAAAAAATTATTACTGAAATAAAATGTAACAAACAGGACCACCAAGTGCATTACAATTATACTTTATACACCAAGTGTATAATTGCACATTTGAAAATGAAAAAAATGAAGTAAACAACTATGTGCATCAAATAGGAGAAGATTAAGAGACGTAGGTGGTGTTTGGTGCTGCGTCCATCTCATGGATGGATTGTTTCGGTCCCTTCCAGAGGATGAAAGTAGTATTCAGTTTATTATGGATAGGCCCACAATACCAGTCCTGTCCAAACTCCAATTTCTCATCTACCAATTTTTCTCGTGGATGTTTCTGAGTCACACTATGGATGATCTGAATATTTGACGTGGTGCATTTCATCCACTAATTAGTGCATAATTTTTTTTGTTACATTTCATTAGACTTAAATATTTTTCTTATGATTGTAAGTTTAAATTTTTGTGATTTATCATTTTTTCATATATTTTAGTAACTATTATTCTTTTTATTAATTTTTATTAAAAGTTATAATTTTATTATTCCAAGATAATAAATATTATTATGACTTTTTATATATATTTTTTTAATTTTAATGTGTTTTATTATTAGATATATTCATATTTATATATTTTATCCTCTGAAATTTGTCATATATAACTTATATTTTTTATATTTATTAAAAAATACATATTAACATTTTATTTTAACAATTGTTATTTTGTATTATTTTTTCTATTTATCTTATTTATAAAATATAATTTTTACACTTGATTGACTGTGAAGATCATCTTACAAGTTGTATGTGAGATGTATGGAATTAATACACAAGATGTGGACTATTCCACACCACATTTGATAGAGCACTACTTTGGGTGTGGACCGTCTCAGTCCATACAGTTTGTCCACATTACAGAGCACCTGCAAACGATGGCATCACCACCCTATTTCTCATCCATGTTACAGAACGCACCCTTAAATAGCTATCTTTTTGTCTTTCTTTTGGTCTTTTAGCCATCTTTTCTTTTATATGTATGTCATTCGCTTGCTATTTTGATTGTCTATCTTTTTTGTTACTATATGTTATTGATTTGGATCCTCTTGTAGTTGTGCATTTTTTTTTCTTTTTCTTTTTTTTTTTTATAGTGTGACTTATTAAGTGAATCACATTTAGAATAGTAAGCCATTCATCCAATCAAAGAATCCCCCTTTTTTCTTTTAGGAAAAGTTCCCCAAAATTTTTTGATGATTTTAACAAAATATCATAAAGTTAGATGATATTCTAACATTTTAAATCTTAGATGCTTAATTCATCAATGAAATTCGAAATATCCCTGATATATTGTCAATGTATCCGATATATGAAGGGAAAAGGATTCATAAAATACTTCTAACAACCCCATTGGGTGTATCCAATCTCATGTACTCCTTTAATTTTTAATAAAAGGGAAAATTCCCAATCAGTACCCTGTGCTTTGGCTCGAGTGACAATTTGGTCCCTGAACTTTAAAATGCGACAATCCAGTACCTGAACTTTCAAAATGTGACAATCCAGTACCTGTTGTTAACCAGTTTGTTAATCAGCCGTTAAGTGACATTTGAAAAGTCAAAATTACCCTTCGAATGCCATCTAATTCTCTTTATCAACCATTCAAACATTGACAAAAAACTGAACAGTCCCAAATCCTACCCTCTTCTATTCAAAAAAGTTGGTGACTGTTTAGAAGAATCTAGAATTTGGAACTGTTCATTTTATTGTTAATGTTTGGATGGTTGATAAAGAGAATTAGATGGCATTCTTATGGCATTTTTGACTTTTCAAATGTCACTTAACGGCTGATTAATGGACTGGTTAACGGCAGGTACTGGATTGTCACATTTTGAAAGTTCGGGTACTGGATTGTTGCATTTTAAAGTTTGGGTACCAAATTGACACTCGAGCCAAAGTACAGGGTACTGATCGGGAATTTTCCCTTAATAAAATTCTGTCAGTTATTCATAAAAAAGGTTTACAAAATATTTTGTATCATCCCCTAGAAAAATGGGAATATTTTTCCAAATCATGCCAATATTGCAAAACTTTTTAGGGATACCAACTTTGGCACAAACCGAACATGTTTTCATGGATACAAATACGAGTATCATGCTTATATAATGAATTTATCTCTAGCTTTTGAAGCTAAGTGTCACTTCTTTGTATCTTGCTATGATTTATTAAATTGATAATATATACAGATTTTTATAGTATGATTTGAAGTGTTAATGCTATTGATTATTTGTAGAAGTGCCCATGCAGTATCCATGTCATATCAGGTACATATAGTGTCAACACCGGTATGTTGGGTATGTGTAGGTATCCAGTTACCGGTATCATATGTTGCAATTAGACATCTTCAACCATTGAAATGTTCACATGAATATGTAATACTGGCCATTGATGTGCCGTTTTGTTTCTTCCAAAAATATACTTCGCCTAAGTTCATTTCGTTTCCAACTTGCACCTCTTTTTCTTTCCATTACTAGACTACTAGTCGGTATTGTGGACAGAAGAAGCCATGAGAGAATCTAGCTTTTACGAAAGTCCTTTACAGCTCTTAGAAATAAATGGTTGGTTCATTTGTAGTTAATGTATTCAACTCCCTAAATATAGTGAATTGTAGTTGTTGCATGTTTTTGAGAATTTTTATCCATTGGAGGTGGTGGTTGATTTCTTTTTCATTCAAAACATCCTGCCTTGCAAAGAAACATAAATACTACCTCGTAAACCCGAGTTATTTTATGCTGATTATGTGTCAGGTGATCTGAGTTATTTTATGTTGATTATGTTTCAGGTACTTAGAAGGGAGGCAAGGTTTAGTTGATATTTGAATCAGAATGAAACAAGATGGTTAACTTCATAGCTGGTTAGTTGGATATGAAGTAGGGCTTTCCCTGTCAACTCCTGCAGGCATTTTATTTTTAGGGGTTAGCTTCTCACCTCCGTGGTGCAACCTCAATGCAATCGAGCGCTATCTTGAGGATTTAGTGTAGAAGCTATTTCAGTTATGCTAGGAGGGTGTTTGCCTGTACTTTCCTCTCGGTGTTTGTATTAATTCCGGTTCTGTTTTGTAAGATGCACCAATTGCATTACTATTTTTCTAGATTTTATTTTAGCGTTTCTGATTGTACCCCTTAGTGTTCATCTTGTTCTAAATGAATTAAGAATATATGAAAAAAGGAGTTAATAGAACTATAGGTCTGATGATTACATTTGATTCATTGAAGCTATGATAGTCATTTCGGGTGTCAAGAGTGGAACAACTGGCTTTAAATTAACAGTTTGCTTTTTTCTTATTTTTATTTTTTATTTTTTTGCAACATTAATTTGGGTTGAGTTATCCTAAATCTAACCCGAATATTGTTTTGATGCCTTGGACAACCTGATCCAACTCAAACCGGACAAGTGTTCATGTTTACATATTTAGGTATTATATAGACATCCATGGATGCATTTATACTGCCGAACCAAGGTTTGGGTTAGGTTTGGATTGACCTCAATCTGACATTCTGACCTAACCTGCCCCAATTTGCACCGTTATGACGGACAATATTTGTAGGGTACCAATAAAAATATGTCCATTGCCCCAATATCAATCCATCTTATTTGGGTCTTGGGAGGGATAGACTGGATATGGACTTGATCTTTGGCATTTGATATATATTCACATAATTGGCAACTTTTACAGTTACCTGAGATTTTACTCTTAGATGATTATATCAAGCAATGGCCCCTTTTACAGTACCATTTAGGATTTAGCTGAAAGCCTGCAACACCTTAATGTCATTTACACTATGAATTACAGGAATGGAGTTGTTTTATATTGTACGATAAAGTGCTATAGCATTGCGTTAGGGTGTGTTTGTTTGTGATGCAAATGTGAATCAGATAGAAAAATTGCATCCCATTCAGTTTTGCATCTATTTATTTCTAAATGTGATTTGCACTCTTACCTGGTGCAAAATTTATACTTTGTCTCAAATGCAATCCATTAGTAGTGTAAATTTTGCATATGAAAAACTGATGCAAAATTTGCACCACTTCCTTCTACCTTTTTCACTCTCGCATTAAGTGGGGGCAATCGGTTTGCTTCTTACCTTCTCCCAAATAAATAAACTTCGGCCATCTTTGGGGGTGCTTAAAAATAAGTGTTTATTCAAAATAAGTACTTATTTGGGCCATTAAGCACTTACTGGTATTTGGGAAATAAACCCAAAATAAGTACTTATTTTAAAAATAAGGCTTATTTTTTAAGCCCAAATTTCCAGATTTTTTTAAGTGCTTATTGTATAAGCACTTATTCAATTTTTTTTCTTTCAAAATTATCCTTAGTTGAATTTTAAAATACCATTTATAAAATTATCCTTAGTTGAATTTTATAAAAGTACTTTTATGAAAGTATTTTTACGAAAACACTTTTATAAAAATGCTTTTACGAAAGCACACTTAAGAAAGTTTTTTATGAAAGTACTTTTATGAAAATACTTTACAAAAGCACTTTTATGAAAGTACTTTTACGAAAGCACTTTTATGACAACACTTTTACGAAAATACTTTTGTGAAAGCACTTTATAAAAATACTTTCATAAAAGTGTTTTTAGAAAAGTAATTTAATAAAAGTGCTTTCAAAGAGTATATTTTGAAATTTTGAAAGAAAATGAAGGACAAAATAGTCATAAATGCTTATTTAAGTGCTTATTAGAGAAAAAGACTACCAAACACCCAATATAAAATAAGTGCTTCCTTTAAAAAATAAGCACTTGAAAAAGTTGGGTGCCAAATGCAAATAAGTGCTTATTTGAATAAACACTTATTTTTAACTTAAGCACTCCCAAACATGGCCTTCCTCCATTTGTCTTTCATATAAATTAGGAACCACATCATTTTACTTCGTACAAACAAAAAGAACATCAAATTTGAAGCAAAAATAAACCATGATTTAACACACAATCCATATGCACTCTTATGCATTTACATGGTGCAAATGAAATTCACACCGAACCAAATGGTGCCTTAGTGAACACTGAGCAGAGCATACACTATTCACCAAAATGTCTCTAGTTGTCTTTTCACATATTTTTTTTGTCCAACTTTAATAGGCTTTTGGTCCACTAGACTAGGGCATACGTGCAACTTGGGTTGGGTAATACTGTCAAATTTCAACGGGACTTGGCCCAAATCCAATACTTGCCTTAAAGCCATCAAAATTGGAAAAAGTTTGGCTATTTGAAAAAAAAAAAAAAAAAACTGCCTAGACTGTTTTAAAACTTCCTACACATGATAAGTTTTTTTATTTTTTCAAACAGACAAGTTAGATCAAAATATTTTAATAGCATCATATCAATATGTCATACAGGGTTATTGCTTACAAAGGGTTGTTCAAAAATTTAAATCTTTAAATTCATTCAATGAGTTGTGACATTCAAAGAAGTATAATTAAAAACTCAAAATCTAAATTCCATTTCATCTTTTTAAAAGTTTTTACTATTTTTGAAAAATTTTAAATTGGGAAAACCAATTTGCACTCCTAAATTCAGACTCAATCATGGATGCCAATTGTAGCACTGATATGATAGCTAAATGGTGGGGTTGTAATTAGATTGGATCTGGCTATGCAATTGATCTGGTTATCATTAAATCCAAATCCAATTTGAAATATGGTATGTCAGACTCAGATCATATTTGGATATAATCTACATCCACCTTAGTGTACTTAAAATGACAAAAAAAGTAAAAAAAAAAGTTTTAAACCTGTTGAAGTTTGACCTGCCCTAGAATTCTGTCTTGTTCGTTGACTGTAAAGTAAACAATAAGAAGTATGAGAGGAAAGAAGAAGAGAGAAAAGAGAGGAAAGAGAGAAAGGCTAGTTCGAATTAGAGAAAAAGTTATCCCTAGATTCGGCCAGATCTGTTATTATATTATTAACTTATTGGAAAAGACTTAAGTGCCCTTHTTTAAGTAAGAKGCRCKCRAACTAACATAAYARTACACATCAACATTCTCAACAAGTACAAAGACCAAAATACCCCTTCACTAACACCACTAACACTCCTCCTCAAGCTGGTGAATATATATCATATAATCCCAGCTTGTTACATATGTAGTACACTCTCCCCTGACTCAAACCTTTTGTAAACAAGTCTGCCCACTGGTTTC